TGCCAGGGCCTCAGGCCTCAAGAATCAGCGCCAGCCAGCTGAGCAGAAAGCCAGGTCTGTCAGCAGCAAAGCAGGATAAAAATAGTTTCTCCTGTCTGCTCGCAGAGCTGGGCAAAGGGGCTGGGTACCTCCCCCTCCCCCAGTATAGCATCTTTGTTAGCTGTTCCCTGGGCACTGGACCAGAATGACACCCACCTTCTCTAAAGGCCTGGCAGCTGGTACATCTGTACATCTGCCCACAGGGGTGCAGGGGGCAGAGTGAGGGGTCTGGCTGAACACAACCAGGGCTACAGAGCCTGGGGCCGATGCCCATTGACCCAGGCCCAAGGGGCTTCTAGAGAATTCCAACTCTCCTCCCCCACCCTGACTCCTGAAATTCCCTATGTTCTGGGCTTTCCTGACAGTGACCCAGTTCCTGTGTCTCACAGGGAGGCCCATGGCTCCGTGGGAATCAATAGGAAGGACTTTGTGAGGGGCTATGGTGGTGGGAGTAGTGGCTCGGGGTCCAGAGTTACCAGCACTGGCTGCTGAGGCCGCCTCCTGCTCCCCTCTGCTTGACTGGTTCTGGCTTCCTGAGCACAGGTGCACTGCACACAGCCTACCTTCTCTTCCGCATTTCTCATTCCTGCCCTTCCCTTTCTCTGCCCCAGAAGAGTACAATCAAAAGATCCCCTTCCAAAGCCCCTTACCCTGAGACTGGCAGTAGACACTCACTCCAGGAGGAAACACCAGTAAAGCAGGCCCAGGGGCCTGGGGCCTCCAGCTTGCCCAACAGCATCTCAGGCTATCCCCCCCCCAATGAGCCCCCCCACTGGGGGCCCGAGCGCACTCAATGGGGGTGTATGCTAGGCTCCATCATCTTTAGATCCCAGGCACCCTCCCTGCCTTTTTCCCTCTGTAGATTGCAACAATTCTCCCAAGCCGTCCTTCCTTTGCGGGGTGAGTTTGTGTGCACGTGTGTGTGACCCTAGAGACCTTGGGCCTGGAGTGCTCTCCTGCCCTCTCCCGGGAATCACATCCAGCTCCCATCCCCCTTAGGGACTCAGATCTCACATTCTGGGTGGGTCCTACTATTCCACACCGCTATTGAGCCCTGATAGGGAAACTGATTCTTGAGTCCCCATTCAGAGCTGAACTAGGGCATGCTCAACTACTCTGTCATGACAGAGAAACTGAGGCTGAGGAAGATAAGCTAAAGCTACCCAAAAAAAAATTCTACCTTAGGCAAGCTTGAGACGATCTGGAATGACCTTGGACTGGAAACTGGACCTAGACCTTGGTCCTGGACCCAGAATCTTGAGCTGGAGCAGTTTCTAGGCATTGAATGTGCTCTGGATACCAGACCTGGTCCTATAAGCTTTGGTACTCACTTTAGACCTAGAGTCTGGACCTACTCCTCAACCTGAAGTTGGATATAAACATCGGGCCTGGACAGGTACATGTCTTTAATCTGGACCTCAGCTCTAGACCAAGATCAACATGCCAAAGGCCACATGGTTACAAACACGTGGGCCTGCTGTGTGTTCTTGGGCACCCACCCAGCCTTCTCTGGGTTCCCTCAGCTGAAGTATTTGGATAGTCCCCTGCATCCCCAGATGGACTTTTTGAGGTGTGGGAAAGATAGGTCTATTTAACTGGGTTCCCAGGCCCAGCTCTGGAGCGACTACTTGGCGCCATCAGAGGCAGTGAAAGGAAGTGGAAGCCGGTGTAATGTGGTCAGCTAGATAAGCCCATGGGTAGGATAGGAGCGCTCTTCAGCCTGCTGGGGGAGACTTAATGTAGCTGCAGAGGGCAGACAACTGTGTTATTGGATCGGCATTGATCCCTGTCTGCCAGGAGGGTGCACTCTGAAAGGGTGTGGGTAGGACAGGGTTGGGGTAGAGAGGGAGGGGCCCTGGCTCCCAGCTGGAGGTCAGAGACAAGTGTGAGGGGAGATGTCCTTGGCAGGGGTCCACGGAGACCACTGATGTGCAGACAGTAAGCAGCTGCCTTGTCCAAACTGCAGAATCCCGGCACAGAGCAATGGACTCTGGAACTAGGAGGGTGGGCTTGGTAGAGTTGGAGCGCTAGGTTTTGTGCAGAGGAAGGAGAATAAGAGTTGGCACTTCCGAGAGATAAATCTATGCTCAGAGACACCCTGGGAACAGAGAGAAGAGAAGGCTCCGTGGAGGTCACCAAGGGGAAGAAGGCTTGTTGAAAGCTGGGGGACTTAGGACTTTGTCTCTTTTCTTCTAGGAGCTCTGGAAGACTCTCCTGAGTTCTTCCAACTTGGAGGGGGCGTCTCTTCTCTATTTGAGTTTCTGTATGCCTGGAGTCAGTCTAGAACCATGTACACAAGGTGTTTACCTTTAGAGGCTAAAAAGAGACTAGAAAGGGTGGGGGAGGGAGCATGTGCATGCCTGTGATGTGTGTGTGGGTGTTCTCCAGGGATTCTCTAAAATTCTTAGGCACTCCCAGAGCTGGGGGTTCACCTCACTTGGGGTTCTCTGCCTTTATGAGAAAGCCCATTCCTCTGGCTTCTGCATTCACAGTTCCCTCCCTCCATGACCCCCACCTCCAGCCTCATCCTAACCCTGAAGCACAAGCTGCAGAAATGGCTTGTAAGAGGATCTTTCTAATAACTGAAACTCCCTCCAGCCCCAGGCCCTCCCTTCTTCTTCCTCTGTCTCCCTCCATCCCTCCCTGTTTCTTCTCCTCTCCCCCCTCCTTTCTTTCCCCTTGTTTACACAGCACACTTACACACGCTGGGAGAGAGGGGGACAATCGTCAGCTCAGCAATTTTTCACACTTCTCTCAAATGCTCAGCAAGGTTATTTCCGGCAGAGCAGAGAGACAACGGGCCACCAGGAGCCAGCAGGCTCTCTGAGGACCCTCAGAACACTTACCCACTCAGGGAGCCCTCATTGCCCGGTCTGGCCACACCCCATGGAGGGAGGAGGTTCTTGCAAAACAAGACAGAGCAGACCCTATGTTTTCTAGTTGAAAGGCTACAAGGGCCATCCTGATTTCCACCCTAACCATTCACAACAGACAGGGCAAGATGCCTTTACCACGAGGCAGACCTAATCTGGGAAAACTTCCCCTCTCAGGCACAGTGGGTGAAGAGAGCCCCAAGGGAACCGTGACAGAAGATCCCAGCACCCCCTTAGATCCAGTGTCTCTAACATCAGTTAACCTTCCACGGAAACCGAGCTTGTCAAAGTTGGAAGGAGGCTTAGTACATGACATCCAAGCTCTTGCTTGCACTGCTGGGGAGGCTGAGGACCAAAGAAGGGGAGGCACTTGTCCAAGGTCATCACAGATCCAGAGCTGCTCTACAGAGACCCCAGCCAGGCGTGTGGCTAGAGCAGCTCCAGGCTTTCCCAGAGGGCAAGGAGTTGATGAGCTATCTCTTTAGGAGAGGGACAAAGACAGGGGCAGCTCTAGGCTAAAGACACCTCCATCTGTATACCCCATCGTTCATGTGGGGGCTCTATCCAAAGCCTGTTTGGACAAAATTCAAGGCAAGGCATTTCTTGCCTCCCTCCTGAGCAACAGCCTGCAGTTTGCCTGTGAAATTCTCTGGGTTTCCTCAGTTGGCCCAGGGACAGGATCAAGGGGGCCTCAGAAGAGTTTTATGTCAGTCTCCTAAGGGATCCCATGGATCCTATGGATCCCAAACCCTCAGAGACTTCACTTCCTTCATACCAGTTTCCCGCACATGTTCCCCAGTCTTGGCACAACTCCAGGTCCACCCTCTGTCCTGCCAGCCCTCAGCCCAGACATCTCCTGGGCTTCTGTCTTCCACCCCAAGGTCCTGGAGGTTAAGGAAAGAGGACAACCGAGTGGGAGATGAGGGTAAAGGAGTGGAGGGTTCTGTGGGTAGCTGAGTGGAGCCAGAAGCTGAGGGGCTCTAAGAAGCACCCTGATGGCTGCCTAACTTCTGTGACCTTGGTGAGGTCACAGAGCGCCTTGCTCAGCACCTTTTCTCACCTGGCTCGGCAGAGTGCTGGCAAGTGGCTGAGTGCTTGCAAGTCTCTTAGGAGTTGCCCCCAACCTCCCAGGTTCCTGCTTGCCACTTCCGTTCCCAGTACAGACTCATTCTTAGTGCCTTGCTCTTGTTCTGCCAGCCCTGTGATGTCAGAGGTCTCGCCGACCAAAGCGACTCCTCCTTCCCAGACACCTGTCCTGGTGGGGCTGTTGAGTGCTATTATGATCCATCCTCTTGGTGAGAAACAGTTTCATAGAACCACCCTTCTCTTGACATCTGAATGTCACCCCCTTTGGGGCTTGAATGACCTCTCTTCTCTCTCAAACCCTTCTCCCTTAGAAGAACTTGCTCTAAGAAGAGATGGGGAGTGGGGGTGGGGCAGGACATAGAGGGTTTCAGAGGAGCAGCAGGTTTAGTTGTTGGGGGTGAGAAGCCAGAGAGGACCAGTGCAGTCCAACGGACCAGAAGGCGCACTGGGGGAACCCCTTCCAATAATCTCATCTTTTGAGTCCCTAGGACAGGCCCAGCCTTTGGCAGGCATGTGGCAGAGGGTAACAAAAGAGTTGGAGAGAGGAGGACTGGAGAGCACTTGTCTGGCATTGCCAGGGGGAGTATGGTTGAAGGGAGGCGGGGTGCGCCCACTTTCCCCAAAGAGCCAGTCTCCTCTCCACAGGGATTGGCAGTCCTGGTCCCTTACCTTCCCATCAGGGATCACACAGCCAACCAGTCTTCCTCCTTCAACAGTGAGAGGTTACTCCAATCCGCCCGCACTAGCGTTTTAGGGGTGTCCTCTCTCTGTCACCCCCTTACCCCAGCCGTATTCTAGGGTCACAACTTTTAAAGTCCCGGCTGGTGCGTGGCTGAGGGATTAGTCGACCCTGTCACTTTCCTTTGTACGACCTAGCCCCAGCCCCGCCCGGCAGGCCCTCAGGAAGTCCCGGGGGCGCACTCGACCAGGGACGTCTCCTCTGGGGTTCCCTTCTGTGACCCAAGTTGGGGACCCCGCTACCCTCCCCTAGGGCCCACTCACCGTTGTCCCCCGGAGGCCCGCGGGCGCCGGGCAGCACGTAGGCAGTCTCCAGGGGGTGGTAGGTGGGGGCTGGCACCCCGCTGCACTGGAAGCCATCCGCTTTGATCTTCTTCACCAGGAAGGAACGCGGCATGGTGCCGCCGGGCGGGGGGCTCGCGGGGCACTGGCGGCCCGGTGGGGGAGGCTGCCAGCCGGCGCGATTGGC